GGGGGGGGATACAATAGAGGTCTATAAAATCATGACTGGTGTGGAGAAAGTAAATAAGTAAATTACTCCTTCTTGTAACACAAGAACAAGGGGTCACCAAATGAAATTAATAGGCAGCAGGTTTAAAACAAACAAAAGGAAGTATTTCTTCACACAGCGCACAGTTGTGAAGATGATGTTGTGAAGGCCAAGACTATAACAGGGTTCAAAAAAGAGAACTAGATAAGTTCATGGAGGATAGGTTCATCAAAGGCTATTAGCCAGCATGGGTAGGGATAGTGTCTCTTGCCTCTGTTTGCCAGAAGCTGGGAATGGGCGACAGGGGCTGGATCACATGATGATTACCTGTTCTGGTCATTCCCTCTGGGGCACCTGGCATTGGCCACTGTCAGAAGACAGGATACTGGGCTAGATAGACCTTTGGTCTGACGCAGTATGGATGTTCTTATGTTGTGAGGATCTAAATCTGTTTCCTTTCGATGGGTCAAGCTTTGGGCTTTTTGACTCCAGACTTGTTCCCATCCAGGAAATCGTAACTACCTCTGCACTCTTCAGCTAGAGCAAGGTTACAAGGGAGGGAATCTCCTGGCAGAAGGACTGGTGTGCAATCTATCCTGTGAATGGCAAGCATGCTCTAAGTGTGTCTTGTTTGCATCTCTGGTTCACCAGCACAAATCCCAGCCCCAACTGTTGTGGGAGGGCAGAGCAGGAGATGATGTGCTGTATATAGCCGTACGCAGTACACACCAGAATTGAGCCCCTGTTGCATAGACTGGGTAAAGTGAGCCCAAGGCAGGATTGATATCGTCTTAGAGACAGAAGTGGGTCCCCATCCCTGGCGTGACTTGCTGATGGAACTGACTATTCAGAAGATGCTGCTCATCTATGTGGATTGCTGGACCCAAGCGGCCTAGCTGCTGTGCTGGTCCAGTCTGAGTTGGGGATCTTGGCCTGCTTTACTAACTTGCTTTCTCTTGTTTTCCCAGGGCCTTGGGCTGAGGATGAAGAGTGGACAGACAAAGCCAGGAGGGTGATCATGGAGCGAATTGGCCTGGCCACAGCAGGGTAAATGCCCAGATGAGCTCAGGGGGGTGGACTTTCCCTCGACACACCTCGGTGTTTGTTTTACAGCGTGACAGCTCAGGGGTGCATTTTAGCAAATAGCAAACTTTTCAGACCTGGATTACTGGGCCCCACATAGAGGGGAGAGGGTTACTCCGTGCTATAGGAGCGTGAGACGCTTCACACATGTGTAGGCCATGAGTCCTATTAACTTGTTTTGTCTCTTCTGCAATCTGACTAGTTGTCTGAAGAGGCACGGAAATGTTCTCTCATTGCAACATGATGTTTCTCCAAATAGCTATGCAGCCAGTCAGAATGCAGGAGAAGGGATGGTAACGGTGGATCTTCACTTGCACAGATCCCTAGTCATAGCAACATTGGAGACCAGTTATGTGGCTTTTGCTTGACCCTGTTGTTGTTGAATTGGGCCTCTTAGGAAGTCTGCAGAGGGGCTCAGCTGTGATCTCAGAGCACCCACAAATGCTGCAGCGTGAGGGCCCAAACGTCTGTGTAACTTATGCTCTCGGTTACTCAGAACGTGGTTTAGCAGACACTGGGTTTCCACTTGTGGGAATGTCCTGGCAGGCTCATCGTCCCTGACTGCTGTAGGACAGACAATGATTGTCTGATGTGGTGTCAGAGCACTTCCTTGTGAATGAGGGACCCCTGAAGTGAATATTCTGACGCCCATCTTGGGAACAAGAAACCATTGTTCTCCCAGAAGTGTCTGTGGCAAGAATGAATGGAGGCTGGCCTTCCCTCCATTACCATCTGCCTTAGGAGAGGCCTCTGGGCTAATGAAGGAGTGCCCTGGCTGCTGTGTGGCTCAGGAGGTGGGACCAAGTAACCCAAACCTCACAAGTTCTGCAGCAGCCTGTGGGTGTGCTGTGCCACCATGCAGCCATGAGTGCTTTCCATTCTTCCCAATGGGCTGCTGCTTGGATGAATTGTTATGGCTTTGTAACTACCTACCTCGGGCCTTACGTGATCCTGCCCAGGGTAGTGTCTGACGCTTCCCAGCACCTCGGGGCGGAGGGAAGGGGGTCCCCACTTTCAGGAGGGGAACCGCAATAGTGTGGAGAGGTGAAGTGACTTGGCTTAAGGTGATACTAGAAATCCATAGCAGAGGCAGGCAATGAACCTTACTCCCAAGTGTAAGAATGTCCCTTCCCTCCTAGTCACAACTTCTGTGACCCAAACTGTGGTGGTCAAAGTTTGGTAGGGTTTTGTCCTTCGTACAAGGTGAGTTTTGATTGACCTGCAGCCGGCCCTCTGAAAGTAACAGCCCCAGGTTCCCACCCTTGCAGTGCAGTAAGGATGTACCTGCAGGGGCCATGTTGTGAAGCACAGATGAGGCAACCTGTGACTTATCTGACTTGAAATCATCAATTTGTTCCCAAATACTCAATGACAACATACAGCCCTGCCAATTGGCTAAGGAATCTCCTCCCCAGCTAGCCACACAGTTGGAGCCCTGCTCGGCCAGTTGGGTTCCTTGTGCCCCATTTATAGGGGAGCACAAATGGAGGAAGGTCTTCAGCATGTGGCGTAAAAGTCACGTAATGTGCATGACCGTGTGTCTTCTTACACTGAGACTAAGTTAACGGCACGCTGTTTTTCTGGGTGCTGTGAAGCTGTTTTATTGCCTCATGGAATGCTGTGTGGACCATGAGTATCTTGGTTTAACCTGCATTGCTGCCTGGGACCTGCTGTTGCATTCTAGTGGCATCCAAACACCCATCAGCGGTTTGTTGGGGCAGCTCCTTCCTCTGGCTGAGCCAAGGCTAACGTGCTGGGTGTGGTTTGCCTCAGGGAGCCGTACCATGACATCCGTTTCAACCTCATGGCGGTGGTGCCCGACCGGAGGATGAAATACGAATCTAAGCTGCACATCCTGAAGATGAACAGGCAGACTGTACTGGAGGCCCTGCAGCAGGTAGGAATGGGTGAGCTAGCTGAACGAATGAGCTGGGTTTACCATCAGCCTGTAATTTCTGGCTTCTCCAGGCACTGCCCGGCCCTGCTTTCTCTCTCACTCCAGCCTGTGGGGAGCTTGGCTCCTAGGACATGTGGGAGGAGCACCTTCAGTCGCCCTTTGCCTGTGGTTGGTACCATGCTCTATGCCTCCATCCTGTAGCTGAGCTCAGTGTAGTCTCATGTGGCTGCTTTCCCTGCATAGGCTTTCAGTTCCATGCCCTGCATTTCCCAGGCTTTGCTCTATTGACCATTTAGCCCAGTGGTCAATCACTTCTAACCCGGTGGCATTCCAGCAGGGCAAGCGACCAGCTGATTCTACTTCCTTTCCTGGCTGCACGTGGGTGCTGGGAAGTTGGCTCAGCAGTGCGGATTCATCTGCTTCCCTCCCATAGCCCTGTGACTTGCGTGACTGGTTATGAGAAGCATTCGGTTCAACAGTCAGGTGCAGATTGTCTTTTGCTTTCAAGCTTATCCGGGTAACTCAGCCGGAGCTGATTCAGACCCAAAAGTCCCAGGAGTCTCAGCTGGCCGAGGAGTCCAAGCCGGCCAGCAGCAAGGCGTGTCTGGCACTGGAGACGAGCAGAGCACAGCTGGCCCCGGAGTGTTCACACCCAGGTATGGGACTCACTCTGCCGGGATGATAGTCCTGGCACAAAGGCACCCAGCTGTGGCTTGATAACTTGACTCTGGAGTCCGGGGTCCCTCCATGGAATAGGGTGGAGCAGTGCTGGCTTGGCCTTGATTGTTCTGCTCCCAAATACAGCTGTGCATGCTGTCCCAGGGCCTCGGGGCATGGATTTACTCTGGTCTATACCCCCCCCCATTTGCTGGCCTGTGCCCTGCCGCTGGTAGGGATGCAGCTACAGAATTTGAGAAGGGCAGAACTTACGCCATGCTTATTATTGCTCTTGGCAGTGTATTGGGCTGGAGAGGGGCATAAAAGCTCAACTGCTGTTGTGGGGCAGGAAAGAGGTTAAGTAGAGCATCTAGAATCAAAGGAGCTTGAATCCATCGGGAAAAGCTTCTCTTTGATGTAGGGTGTGTGTGTGTGTGTGTGTGTGTTACAGAGAGCACTGAGGACTCTACTGGCCAGGGCCACCCTGCCTCCACACAGAGCCTGCCCAACAAATCCAAACTGGTAACAAAGCCATCTGGTAGCTGCATCAACGGTGCTCCGGCAAACCCCAATCCCATTGTGCAGAGACTCCCAGCCTTCTTGGATAACCACAACTACGCCAAGTCGCCCATGCAGGTACGTGAGGCCTGGCCTTTCTTTCCCATTGGAGGCTGCAGGCCGGAGAAAGCCAGTGTTCTAGGCTGTGCCTCTTAAGCCTCATGAATGAACTTTTGGGGAAACTTTCTACCCCTCTGGATCCAGCAACTGACTCCACCAGAGTGCGGGGTCAGGTCCCATAGAGCCCCAGGTCTGGCTGGAGGTTTGTAGCACTTCCACAGTTCCTTATGAACGAATACAGGCAGAGCCAGGTTATATACGCCAGAGAGAACAAGACACAAATGGAGTTGGGCGCGCTCTGTTTCCACTGATCTGTTAAAAGGTATCTCTCATGCTGTCCCCTCTGGGGATGCATTGCTGGGTTTTTAGCCTGTTCTGGATTTACATGACCAGATAAACCATGCTCTAGGCACGTTTGTTTCACTTTGTTTCTGTGGGGAAATAGAGGCCAAAGCACTGAGCCCTGGGATTTTTGTTCCTGAGCTTTGATGGGTTTAGTTCTATGTTGAGATCATGTTTGGCTGGACCTAGAAGTGCCCCAGGGAGAATCTGGTCAGCGTGTGTGTGCGTGTGCCCAGGATTGAATCTCTGAATCCCTTCCCCGAGAAAGGGGCTACTCCTGGGCTGCGGTTAGGGATGTGGTGCAGCCAGCCTCAGGCCTGCGTTGAAGTGTCTTTGCCCCATTTCCAAGGAGGGCTGACTGCATGTGGTCCCCTGCCCAGGATGGGCCTTTCAGGCAGTGAGTGCGTGTATTTTGCAGGAAGAGGAGGACCTTGCAGCGGGAGTGGGCCGTAGCCGGGTTCCGGTCCGCCAGCACCAGCACTACTCCGATGATGAGGATGACTATGACGAGGAGGAGGAGGAGGAAGTTTGTAACACTGCCCCTGCCATCAGGTAATGGATGGAGCTGAGATCTCAGGCTGCTGGGAGCGTAAGGCCTTGCTTTCGCTTAAGCAGAGTGTGCCCCCAGCAGGGGGCGTGCTTTTCCCCCCAGACCCTTGAGTTCCCTAGTGTAGACGAGTGAGGCGGAGGATGCCCCAGGGAAGTGTTTTACCAGGTAGGTGAGCAGTCGCTCCAGCCAACCGAGATCCCCTGTGTTGGCTGGGTGCGAAGGCAGCCTTGGCAGATGGAGTGCTTGCGGGGCGGGGTGTGTGTGTGTGTCCTGAGCACAGACTGGCTGGCGAAAGAGGCCCTGCTGGATATTCATCCAGCCATGGTCAGTTGATCTCTTCAACTAGTCTGTGCTTAAGCCACACCTTGCTGGGGCTTATCTCCAAGTATGCCTCCCTGAGTCGGCTCCTACCAGCTCCTACAGCGTGCTGCGCTCTTGGGGGACTGTGGCGGGGGAGGGAAAGCGAAAGAGGACCAGAGGAGCGTGGCGGGGACTAGCGCTCTTACTTGGATCTTGGTGGTGGTAAAGGAGGCTAGTGCTGTGCTTGAATGATGATCAGTTTTAGGAATGTGTAGGGGAAGGATGATCTTGTGGTTTAAACACAAGACTGAGAGGCAGGGGACGTATCATTGTGGCCTGAGGCAAATGGTTTACGTACAAATTTTCAAGGCTCAATTAATTTTGGGTGCCCAACTTGAGGCACATAAGCCCTGGTTCCCCACTGCCCTTCATCTTGAACAGTCACTTACCCCAATGCCCAGTGGGTGTGAAATGCTCCCATTCTGAATCAGGACCCCGGAGCTTGTCTATCAGGCCTGGGAGCCCCCACGGCTCCCATTGATGTCAGCAACAAGTGCAGGTGTCCAGCCCCTCTGAGAACTGAGGTGACAAGGTGAGCACTCGGAATTAGTGGATGGCTTTGAAATCTTTGCGTTTGGCCCCATCCATGCAATCCGGATGGTGGCTTTGAAAGGTGTCGGGAGGCTAAATCCATGAGTTTGTGGAGGGCTTTGAGATCCTCAGAGGGAAGGGAGCAGAGAAGTGTGAAGTGTTATTTGCATGGTGGAAATGGCTTATGGTGAGTTCCAAACCGGTGATGCTGTAAATGAGATGGAATGACATTGTGATTGGCCCATTGCATTGCGGTTCAGTGATGCCTCCCTAGAGAGGGAAAAGTGAAAAAACAGACTCTGGCCTTGTCTACGCTTAAAATAGCGCTTCAGTGTAGACACTACCTACACTGACGGGAGGGGTTCTCTCGTCAACCTAACGCTGGTTACACTGGGGGTTAGTTGGTTTAACTGCATCGCCCAGGGTGTGGATTTTTCACATCGGTAGACCAACCTAATTTCCTAGTGTAGACTAGGCCTTCTGTGTGAGTCCACACTGCCACTGTCATTATTTCTAGAGTGCTGGGTGCTGAGTAGGTCCCTACCCTGAGCTGCTAACACTCCTGTTCCCACGTTGGACGCGCTAGAGCATGAAGGCTGAGCTGATCAGTCTGTGCCTTTGGGAAGCCCTCGGCTGTGCGGGGCAAAGCACTGACTGACCTTTCCAGTCACATGAGCTGTTCCCCATTTCCCCGGCTTGCCGTGTTCCATTGGGCCAGGCTCGGAGTGATCTGAACTCCTGGAGGTGCTTCAAGCATTGCTTCTGTATTCTGTGTCCTAGCTAATTGCCTGTGAGTGCTAGGGACTGTAACATGTCGGCCTTCCCCAGCTGTTGGGGTGCCAGACCTGGTGCCGCCTGCAGCTTCCCTCCCCATACGTGCTGTCGCCTGTGCTTGATCTCCTGTTCTGCGTCCTTGGGCAGGTATAAGAGGAAGGGGCAGGGGAAGCAGGAGGTTGTGGCCGGGGCAGCAGACAGCCAGCTCTCCATCCTCCAGCCCAACACCATCAACGTTCTGGCGGAGAAGCTCAAGGAGTCCCAGAAGGACCTTTCCATCCCCCTCTCCATCAAGACCGGGAGCGGGGGCGCCACCGTAGCCGTGGTTGCCCATTCACAGCCCTCCCCCACGCCCAGCAATGAGAGCACGGACACTGCCTCGGAGATCGGCAGTGCCTTCAACTCCCCGCTGCGCTCCCCCATCCGCTCGGCTAACCCTACCCGGCCCTCCAGCCCCGTCACCTCCCACATCTCCAAGGTGCTCTTTGGGGAGGAGGACAGCCTGCTGCGTGTGGACTGCATGCGGTACAACCGGGCCGTGAGGGACCTGGGGCCTATCATCAGCACTGGCCTGCTGTGCCTCACCGAGGAAGGGGTGTTCTGCCCTCTTGCCATCACAGGTAGGTGGTGGGGAAGGACCAGTCATTCTGGGTGGGAGATGGGGGACCCAGGGCTCTCCCAAGGCAGTAGGCTGAAGGGAAAGACCTCGGTTCTGCCATGGGTGAGAAGGTGGGATGCTGGGCCCTGAGATGACCAGGGAAGGGATGGAATGTTGCTTCTATCTGGATGCCGAGGTGGGGGGCAGCATGTCCATTGGCGCTGGGAGCAGGTGTTAGCACATGGCCACGGTACCTAACTCTTTCTTTCCTGGTGTGCCCAGACGATGGGAAAAGCTCCCCTCTCTCCAGCAAGCAAAGAGAAGAGGCCCAATCTGCTGTCAGAATGGACGAGAAGGAGGCAAGCGAGCCAAGTGACAGCAAAGAGAAGGTTGCTCTCTGCAGGCCCAGCGATCACCCTTGCGGGGAGAAGTATTCTCCCAAAGTGAGTGTCCTGTCGTTCTTCCCTGAGCGAGGCAGCAGATCCACAGAGCCAGGGTCCTGCTTTAGCGGCTGGGGGCACAGCCTCTCTGCCAGAGGCCTCAGGAGCTGGTTTCCGCGGGCAGGTAGCAAGTGCAGTCATTGGATTAACCATTGGGTGCCAGGAGTCAGGTTTCTTTACAACCTGCTCCTTGCAGTTTGGTCTCTGTGGAAGCTCCTGCCTGTAGCCTGCCCGTGTTTTAACCCCAATCTCTCAGTCCACCAGCCTTGCCACCTTTATTCCCTTAAATTGTAGGGAATTTGGTACTGGTGAAAGGTGTTGGCCTGCGAGCCATGGCTGCTGAGCCCGTTTATCTCCCAAGCTAGCAGCACTAGCACAGCTACCCCACCCTGCCCTCCTGAGGTGCTGCTGTCCATCTCTGGGAATGGGAGGGCAGGCCAGGCTTTGCCACTCACTTCGTCACAGGGACACGTGTCTGCTAGGAACTGGGCCGAGTCCACCATCTCATTTTATACAGTGCCCCAAATGGCTGATGGCTGCTTACTGCCCCTCCTAGAGGAGAAAAGCTGTGTGTGCTGGTGCCAGTGCCTTGAGCCATCCTGGCATCTGTGCTGTGCTCTTGCTCATCAGGCCCTGACATGCTGGGACTTTCCATGCGAGATCCACCACGCTGACTCCCTGGGCTCTTGGCAGTCCCAAACTCTATTGCAGTTAAATGGAACTTCATCGGTCCCTTAGAACTGCTTCTAATGCTGCTGTCCAGCAAAGCCTTGTGGCTTGTGAGAGGAGCCCTTTCCCTCTGTTAGTTGTAACACAGGGCTTGATATCGGCACGCCTTGCTGTGCCAACAGCCCCCATGCCTGCATTTCCCACTGCTTGGGGCAACGTGACTTGGAGCTGCTTGGCTGGTGCACCAGTTGTACTGATCTAGGAAGGCTGCTGGGCTCAGGCATTACAGGGGGTCTTCCCTGCACCCTCTCCCTGGCACTGAGCTGCAGCAGGGACAGGGTGGTTCATGTTCTCTCTGCTCGGCTCTTCCAGGAGCTGCTGGCGCTGCTGAAGTGCGTGGAAGCCGAGATTGTGAACTATGAGGCCTGCCTGAAGGAGGAGGTGGAGAAGAGGAAAAAATTCAAGGTGTGCTGGCTGATTGCTTATTTGGATCCCTTAGGAGGCTAAACCAAGCTATAGCCTCAGGGGACATGCCCTTCGCACTGGGCATACAGGGAGAGACTTCTTTAGGTAAGGCCTGGGGAGAGGAAGGAATGGTCTCTGCCAGCCCTCTCCTTCCATCTAGGAAGGCTTCCTGTCCCGAGATGACAAAGCCTGGTCAGGACAAACAAACTGCCTAAGCAGCATTAAAAATTTTGGGGACGCTGAGTGAGCAGCACAGCTGAACTGAGGCAGAAACCTGCAGGAGAAGTGCTGGGCTTGCCTGGCTGCGTAGCAGAATTCCTCCACTCTCCCCACTCAGTTAGTTCTGATCTGTACTGCACTTCCCTGAGGGCACATGGCTTACTGTGTAGGTCTGCAAAACAGAACTGGGGCAAATCTTTCCTTGCCTGACAATCCACTTTAGATACCCTTTGCCCTTGGATCTGGCCACCTTAACCGTGTTTTTCCCTGATTCCTTCTGTCTGAGCGCATCAATACAGGCAGTAGCCAAGAGCTGGGTTTGGGGTGTTGCTTTCAGATCCATTGTGGACTTAGCTTAGAACCTAAACCAGCCAAGAGGTGACCCCAGGCTCCTGTGTCTAGGGATCGGATCAGGTTCTGGGCTCTGTTTGAGGACTGCCCCGGGAAGTAGCTATTCACCTTGAGTTTTCTCTTCCTCCACCTCTTTGCAGATTGATGACCAGAGAAGAACCCACAACTATGATGAATTCATCTGCACCTTTATCTCCATGCTGGCTCAGGAAGGTGAGGCTGGCTGCTTCCTTGCAATGCAAGTGTGGGGAGGCTTGGAGCTGCTTGGTTTCATAACCCCTTGGAATCGGCATGCCCACTTGCCTGTCTGAAGACGGGGAGTTGCTGAGAGGTTGCCTTGTTGTTGCACTTCACTGGAGCTCATCAGCTGCTTCTGCAGGGGTTCCTAGCACACTGCTGCCACATTGAAAGGTCCACTCGAGACGCACTACTCAAGACTAACTCATGGTCTCTTGCCGGTAGAGAGGCCCTGAGCAGGGGAGCAAGCATGGGGGCTGACATTCCTACACCTCCCTGGAAAGCATGGGCCTTTTGCTCTGGGATCTGAGGACTTTCTGTCCTAGAATGAACTGGGAACCCAGTGTCCAGGGTCTCCAGCTTAGAAAAAGGGTCACGGTTAAGCTGCTGGTATGGGAATCCTAAAACTGGGCTGGGGCGGTTAGGTAGGAGGTTAGATGAACTCACTAGGGACAATGTGGTGTCAGGTGTCTACGTTCCACCCTGGAAGGTGGCTGAGAGACTTGTTCTTCTGAGCTAGTTCTCCGGTTTGTCTGCTGTCTCTTGCAGGAATGCTGGCCAGCCTCGTGGAGCAGAACATCTCTGTCCGCAGACGCCAAGGAGTCAGCATTGGGCGTCTCCACAAGCAGAGGAAGCCGGATCGCCGGAAACGCTCCCGTCCATATAAAGCCAAGCGCCAGTAGTGGCATCCTTGTGGTCAAGAGGGGGAGCAGAACCGTGTGCCCACATTGCTCGTGCTTGCATCTACAAGCACTTGGACCAGTTGCCCTGTGCCCAGGGGAGATGGACCCAACAAGGACTGGGTCCTTTCCGCTCATGTCCTCAGTAGTGTTGGAGCCCACACTGTTTCAAATGGAATTTGGATTTTATCAGCCATAGCCTGGGCACCCTGTGGAGTCTGGGAATGGGCACTCCCTGCAGCAGTGAAGGGCAGGTTCTAGTGTCAGTGCTACAGAGACACTTGAATCTACTAGACAGGTGTGTCCCAGGTTGCTCTGCATACTCCATGGCATTCTAGCCCAGGACTGATGGAAATCAGCAATCTGCCGAGGGAAAGGCAGCTGGAGTCGGTCTGATGATGCTGGTGGGTGACTGCGCTGGCCCCAGCTGGCTATGGCTCCTGGTTTCCAGTATCCAGGCCTTCAGCTCCACACTGTTCTGGGACATTGATATCAATTTTCTATTTCACAACTGTTTATTTTGTGGTTCTGACCAATGTTGCCAGCATCGTCCCTGAGCACAGCTGGCTCCCTGATGGCCATCTCTGGGCTGCAGTGACATGCCTCTGAGCTGCTGCTGTCCTTGTGTTAGTCATGGTGGGCTGCTCACCTCTGAGCGTGCCTTCGGGTGGTTAGCACTGTGTGTTGCTCTGTTGGTGGACTATCACCTGGTGTGTGTGGTAGGATTTCTCATGCTTACCCACTATCCCTTCTCTTGCTGGGTTGGCTTGGCCCACCCACACTCCTTTGGTCATGGATTCCAGATGCAGTGGAGATCACTGCTGGAGCTAGTTAGCCGGTGCAGCACTCGGACTAAGTGACTTCACGGCAGGGCAGCCGCTGGAGGAAGCTCTAGTTCCTGAGATGGTGTCATTCCATGCTGAGATTAGGCCTTGCTGCACCATGCTTCAGCCCCGGGGGGGAAGGGTTGCAGAGGCAGCATTTGTTTAATGGCCTTCCACTAACTTCAGTGCCTAACTCAAAACAAACAGCTGGGCAGGAAACCTTAGTGAAACACAACAAACCCCTCCCCCCCTATGGTGTTTCTTCTCAGGCAGGAATGTCGGGCGTTTGAATAGCTGATCCCTGCAAATAGTTTTAAAAGGAGGCTGGGGTGGAGCGCTAGCTCTGCCCCAATCACCGGAGTGAAGAATTGCTGCTCTGCCTATTTCCATCATGTAGGTAAATTAAACAGACCCCAGTGCGCTGCAGCTGAGGCGAGGTGGAAGCACCAGAAGGAGCTAGTGTCCACAGCTGCTCTCCCCTCTGCCCAAGGCTGGAGTCTGGCTCATGCTTGCCTGGGTGAGAGTTTTTTCCACACAGGGGGCCAGGTTACCTTTTTATACTATCACAGCCTGACAGGTACGTAGTCCTATCCCCACAGTGACCCTGTGAGCACTGCTGAAAGGGGGTTTCTCCTCTCCAGTAGCAGCGTTCAGGCTTGTCTCTCGAAGGAAACACAGGGGCTTGAGTACCTCCCCTTGCAGGAGGTGGGGGCTAGCTGCCGGGCCAGCCAAAGCTGTTAATGGCGTTTCAAGGGAAGGGTGGTGGTGCAGGAGAAAGCAGACCTGCCTCAGGGAAGAACTGGATTCACCAAATATCCCAGTTTATACAGAGCTTGACTGTCGAATGAAACCACTGCTAGTCCCTGTTGAGGGTGAGAGCCCTTGGTCTCTGTCTGTGTCTAACACCATATGCTGTAAATAGCAGCCCTGTTGGAAAGAATAAAGCTGTCCCATAGCACATGGCTGTTTTGGGAAGGGATGGTTAACAGAGGCTGGGGTGTGCAGGCTGGGTACCTAGAACACTGCGAAGGGGAGTCTTTGGATAGAAATATAAAGCAGTCAGTGCAACAGGTAGAATATCAGCAGACACACAATAATTGCACCTGTCCTAAGCTGCTCTAGTCAGTTACCAGTTCCTGCAGTGGGAACCACGCTGGTCTCTGCATTTCCTGGCCCTTGACTTGAGCTGCTGCCTAGTTTAAACACTAGTGGGAGGAGAGGGGGGCACCTGATTAGAAGAAACAAGCACAATATTAGTAAAATAGAACAGCTTCTTTATTTATGACAACTAAACAAGAGCTCTGAGAGGCAAGGGCAGCCAGAGCAGGGTTTAATTACAAGCCTGTTCTAGCCCTAGTTGACTGCACCAACCAAGCAGTGCATACAAATACACAGTACAACTGTACCTTGGTGCGCAGACCCCTTGCTGCTATGGCTTCCTAGAAGTCTAGCGCACAGATGAGGGCTACACCCCGTTTGATCCAGTGCCTCTGGAGTTTACTGCTGGGGATCTCCACCGCAATCACATAATTGGTAGAATGACCTGTTGTTGACAATGTCCCTGTAATGGAAACAGGTAAAGCTGTATTAGAACATGAACCCAGGGCTGGTAAGTTTCTATACAAGAAAAAAAATCTCATCCCTTTCACCCCCTGCTGTGACTCATGGACAAGTGGGGGCTGCTCTAGCATTAAAGTTACTGCAGGAGCATCCTGTTCTTGTACTATTCTGCCTACAGTGGGTCTTGAGCCAGTCATTTAGTAATGTTTCTGCAGATGAGATGGGACCGTGCTGTCCTGTATTGGTTTTTATACAGCACTCAGCACTGTGCTAGTTAAGCATCCTCTAGGAGTGCATTAAGCAACCTGATGATACATCTAGCACCTACTGGTTCTCTTATCCTCTCCTGAGGGCTGAGCGGGAGAAGTGTAGGTAGGGGCGTGTTGTGTCTTGCCTTGGAAGGCTTTTTAAAATGTATTAAATATAAAACACAGCACCAGGTATATTTATTAGGGAAGACACGGGCAAAGAAATGCATCTTGAGGGCTGGGATGGTTAATGGATAAGGTTCGGCTTGATAAGAAAATACTCCTGCTTGTTCTGTTAGCATCATGCTAATAGGTTCTGCCTGCATATTCTGGAGCACATATAATAAAGCAGCCAACCAAGGCTGTTATTACACGTCTAAGAAATTGGGTCTCTCTGTCATCCATGCATATCCTGCCATTCATGTCAATGGGGCCAGCAGGAACCAGGTCTATCATTCACATGAGAGCTGTAATATAGTGTCATCGTGCCAGGATCGTTGAGCATGAGCACTAGCCCTGCAGTGAAGGAGAAAGAGCCTATGCCTAACTGTCAGCTGCTGCTTTATCTCACTAGGTGCTAGTGCAGTTCCCTTACAGCCTTTGCTTTGGGAGCCCTCCCTGGCCTCCTTACCTGCTCGAGTGAGCGTCTTGTAGATTGGGCACAGGTAGAAGCCCGTGGTTGGAGGTTTGCGGTCGGGAACAGGGACGAGCCAGATCACTGCCATCTCTGTGTAAAGCTCCTTGGGGCGTGACTCTGCTAGCTGAAAGGAGAGGGGATCCCAGCGAGCGCCTTCCAGAAACAGGCCATGAATATAACAACCCTGGACGGGACGCTGGGCCAGCTCGTTCACTGACTCTCTCATCACCTAACGTCCCGAGGAAGAGCAGAATGTTACAAGACGCCCACCACTAAGCATCAGGACAGTGATCAACTCCTAACTGAGCACACACACCCTCCACCCCGCCCCGCCGCTAGCTAGCACCAGGACCTAGTGTAAACTTCCTGCTCCTAACAGCTGTGCTGCTTCCCAGGAGGGGCTGTGTTCCAGCCAGTCAGTCCCATTCATAAAAGGCTCTGAAAATGGTGGCCATATACAGCCCTGGGGGACACCTGACTTTCAGGCTCCAGCTTGAGATTTTCAGGAATACTGAGCATGCACAACTCTCGCCACAGTCAATGGAAGTTGGGGGTAGTCGGCAGCTCTGAAACCAGGCCCTGCAGTGGAGGGGTGTGAAAATGTGGGTGCATATACATATAAATGCCACAGTGGGGCACTGTTTGCTCTCAGCAGGTGGTGGCTAAAACACCTAAGTCAGGCTTTTGGGCCCGTGTGCTGAGGCTTTTAGGAGGAGCGTGTTTGGGATTTGTCCCTGGGCTCTTCCAACAAGGCTAGATGGGACGGACAAGCATTCTTACCCCCCCC